GAAAAAAGAAAGAGAAAGGCGCGGCAAACGGACCAACGACTAAACGTAGGAATAAATAAATGGAAATCTAGATGTACCGTGCAGGATCGCAAAATAACACAACTCAGCGAGGAATACGGGATAGGGGTTGGTCCACTCGGTGAGTTGGTCGTTCTGGATTCAGTTGACTGCGTCGCCACACCACCACGCCACGCCACTTCCCGACTCTCTCTCTCTCTCGCTCCTTTTTACGTTTCATTTGTTTATTTATTTTTTCTGGTCGATCGACACGGAATCCCAGAGTTTGTGCAGAGTTTCGAGACCACTCTGCAGCGTGATCATGAGAGTACAGTGGAGAGAAGGGAGTGGCGGGTCGTGGTGCTCTGATGCACTCTGAGCTCGGTGGCGTGGCGTGGCAGGGCGGGGCGGGGGGCGTGCGCTAAAAGGAGTTCTGGGGAAGGGGCGGGAGTCCACAAACGAGCTTCAAGTTCGAAAATGTATAAAAAGGGAGGAAGGCGGAGTGGGGACGGACGCTTCTCTCTTGCCAAAAGCTGAATAAGTAATATGGAGGCACTCTCCAATCACGATGTTTATCAAAGTTTATTTTTTTTGCGAGACAGATTTTTTGTAGGTACCTTGCATAAGGAAAAGAGCGCAGAGAGCAGCATCAACAACACAGCCTATACCGCGAAACTTGGCGCCGCCAGAAGTACTTTTGCAAACCAATTCCTTTTTTTTACAATTATGACTTTATATAAATTCCCCCCGTCATTACTTTATTTAAATCAAGGCAATGCTAATTAATTCCGCGGTCCCCCCGAGTTCTTAGCATTCTCTCCACTCCACTCCGCTCCGCTCCGGCCCGCCTCGCCCCGGGCGCCTTACGGCGGTGGGATAGGCCGTACCGCACGGCATGTGTGTGCGGCGGCCTGCCCGCCCTCGCTCCCGCAGGGGCTCTGTTCTGCCCTGCAGGCGGGGCGGGGCGGGGCGGGGCGGGGCGGGGCGGGGCGGGGCGGGGCGGGGCGGGGCGGGGCGGGGCGGGGCGGGGCGGGGCGGGGCGGGGCGGGGCGGGGCGGGGCGGTTCTCGGCCGACCAAATTAATGATGGAGTTCCGCTGATTGCTGCTTTGGCTCGGTCGGGTCGGAGCGGCTCCGACAGCGCAACGCGCGCGCACAGCTTCGGCGACGCAATAGTGCTTCCCCCCACATACCAGCGTGACGTGGGGGACGGGGACGGTGGTGGTTGGAGGCGGCAATGCTGCTGTGTGCGCTCTTTCCGCCCTGAATTATAGTACCGTTCACATATCCCCGTTTGTATTCATTATTCAGCTGCCGTTTAACTCGCCGGTATTAGGATCCATAAATGTTTCGGTCGCGACAAAACAAATAATTGAGGCGAAGAGAGCAGAGGGGTGTCCCCGCTCCTCATCCCTCGCCGCAGACTACATGATTGAGTTGATCGTGTGCAGCGCGTTGCTCCCACTGTTGCAAAAAGAACAAAAACTGAGTGTTTCCGAAATGACGTTTTCCAATAGTTCTAGAATATTTCGTTCACTGCTCGAAATTTCACAACTTCAAACTTTGCTTGCAATTTTCCAAAGAATTCTAAATGATGAAATTCGTGTTTTTTTCAAACACTGTAATGATATTTCTGACATGACTTGCGATCCGAATTTTCTTTAATTTCAGAAATTTCCAACCAAAATTTGAAGGCAGTGTCGGCTGTGAGAGGGCGTCGCGCCGCTCCGCCATGCTCTCTCCACATTCACCAATGGTCCCCGCCACGAGCCCGACCGGCGAGGCTATCAGGGGGCTGCCTGGGGGGCCGCTGCCGGGGGGGCCGAGCGTTGGGGGCCCCAAGGGGGGGCCGGCCCCCGCCCCCGCGAGGCAGCCCACCATCAGGGCGGTCGTATTAAGGCGCAGGGGCTTCCGGTCGCCGCCCCCTTTCTCCATCTTCTCTGCTCCAGCGTTATTGTTGCTGCTATTGTTGTTGATGTTGTTATTGTTGTTGTTGGACGGCTGGATGCCCAGGAGGCAGTAGGGGTCGCTCAGTCCTGGACGCAACAAAGCTCTCGCTGTACTCGTTTGGAAGCATACGGGCGGGTGAGCGGGGAGTGGGGCCCGCAACGAGTGCCGCGGCCTTCCTTAAAGCATTTCTAGGAGATCCTCGGAACCGCGCTCTGCTTTTAGAATCAAACACTTATTAATTCATGCATTGTAAGAAACAAAGTTATTGCATAGAGAGGAAGCCGTGGAAAACGGTGAAGGCGAAATATTTACAAAACATTTTGTACACAATATCGACGACATTGTTTAGTATTGTCAAGTGCTCGTCCGATAGAAAACCAACGCGCCACAGAGTCCCTGAAATTTTTCGCTGGAGACGGGGCCTACTCTTTAGACCCCAAACAGGATTGGGTCCCCCCGGGTCTCCCCTTGCAAAGACCATGAACAGAAGACGGCGGATAGGCGGAAAGAGGGAGAAGGGATCGCCTCTCAGAGATAAGCCTTAATTAGATTTGAAATACAAAATCTCTGCGGGTATATTTTTCCTTATTTTTGCGCTCTTTTCCGCAGCGTCGTGTGGCCTATTCAGCGTCACGCGCTAAGCCGCAAAACACTTGCTAACAAGAGTGGCCGGACGAGGCAAGGCGGGATCGGAAACAAGAGGCGAGCGTTCCCGAGTGGCGACAACTTGTATAAGACTTTGAAAAGTAACGGGCGAAACTTCAAAGGTCACGGTTCACGAGTTTCCGCCTCAGGTTTCGTTTGATCTCTTGGCTATTACCACCTCGGGGAGAGACATTCTGATTCCTTGCCTCGGCTGATACATTGGAACGAGGGAAAGAAATATTGAGAGATAGTGAGAGAAAAAGAGAGATGAGAGAGAGCGAGAGAGATAAGATGAGAAAAAGCGGGGGGAGGGGAGAGAAAAAGAATGCGTCTTTCTTGACTCTGATTTCTTTCCTGCTTCCGCCGATATCACTCCCCCAATAGAAAATGCTTGCGCGCCACCGCGTGTTCCAGAGGGGGCCAACACTGCAAAACAAACCTAACTAGGGTAGAAATATTACTTACTCCCTTGCCACCATAACTGAATCGTTATAGTTGACACATTTTGATTGACTTCTCCCTGCTCGCTATTTGGAGTGTGCGCGACATTCATATTCTGCTTGTGTTCGCTGGGTAGCCGAGCCTGACCCTCCGCCACCCCCCTCCCCCTTTCCCCTAACTGTTGACAGTTTGACGTTTTGTCGTGATGGAATTGATTTTGCAGCGCGTCACTTTGAGCCTGGTCCCCGTGGCTGTGGCCACTCAGGCGCTCACTGCCGGAGTCTGCTGGCCGGGCTTGGCCCCCGGGGCGTCCTGCCGACCGGGGTGGCCGCCTACGGGGGTGAAGGCGGGTGGGGGAGAATGCCACAAATGCGGAAATGAGTAAAGTGGGCGAGAAGGAAATGTCTCGGGAAATATTTCCCGTGAGTCATCATCCGGGATTTTTTTTTCTTTTAGAAAAAAAAAGGGAAAGGATTTCTTTTATTGCTTTTTCAAAGAATGAAGCGTTCCACAGGGGAGCAGGACCGGCACGGTAGTACCATCCTTTCTAAAGAAAAAACGGAACGGAAGAACTAACTCCGCTCAAAGACTGGGCCGAATAGGCAGCATGGCCTGGCCCCCGGTATACCGCGGAAACATTATTGAGCGTGTAGGATCTCCAGCAAAACTGGGAGGCTTAGAGGGCGGCTGCCCCGCGACCGGTCCGGCGGAGACGGAGAGGGTGGGAGGGGGGAGGAGCCCGAGGGAGGGAGATAGGAGGGAGGGAGATAGGAGGGAGGAGGGAGGGAGGAGGAAGGGAGGGAGGGGGCCGGGCGCCGCTAAAAGGAGGGAAGGAATGCGGTTGCGGCGGGGACAGGGCGCCGCCTGCTCCGCCTTGTGGGGCTGGGGCGCGGCTGGCGGGCCAATCCGATGCGAGCGACAGAGAGACAACAGTGGGGAGTGCTGGCCGTGCTAGCACAGTGCTGGGGGGACATTGCGAGGGGCCGCGCCGGCCGCGCACACATCTCCTAAACTAATTCATACTGTGCTGATTTGCTGGGGGAGGGAGGGAGGGAGAGACAGAGAGGAGGGCGAGCAGATGGGCCCGGCCGCTCGACCTCCCTCCCCGGGCGGGCGGCCCGAGTAAAGAGAAAGAGAGCTTTCGCCATCTCCGCTGCACGGCTCCGCTCGACTCCGCTCGGCTCTCGCGCTGAAATGGAGAGCGCCTGGCCCGGGCAGGAAATTAGCAGGGAGTGAGCGAGGCGGCGCAAGGCTCGACACGCCAATGTGTGTTTTACGCCCCCCCCCCC